ACCCTCTGTGAGACTAACAGGGCAATATGTCTTTGCCCGTGTGCTTTTCTTCTAATATACCTGGACTCCATATGATATTGTGTCCTGGCATGGTGAGATTGATAAAGGCATTTGTCAAAACTGATAAAATTCTTTCCATTTTGTCTTATATAATCATAATTCTTGAACTCTTTGGCATTTAGGTGTATGTCATGTTGTCTTCTTGGGCTAGTAAACTTATGTTTGAGAGAGCCAACTTAATTCTAGAATTTGGAAGATGTAGTAACAGGCTAGATTAATACTACACTATGTAGCCAAGTTGCATCTTCTCAGAAAGCAAATTTTTGTCTCTTATTTGAGAGTTTCTGTGGTTCTTTTGACTGGACCCTGGATGGGGAAGTAGCTGTTGGGAGGTGAGATACATTTGCAGCACAGATTAGGTGCCTTTTTTAGATTCCTATTTATAGTTTAATGTGGAATCTGAGGAGGAAGCTCTCCTTTGACATAGTGAAAATTGATGAGTCCAGGTTAAATATAAGAAGAGTATATATCCATTACGCACAGGATGGTTTACCTCATCTTCGGCGATAAGAGACTTGGGCAGTCATGTACCGAGGCCTGTGCTGAAGGCTAGTGAGGTATTGGCTCACGTCTCGTGAGCCTGCAAAGCAGAGAGATGGCTTCAGCCCTCTGCAAATGACCTGTGCTTGGTGGGAAGCGGCTGCCATCGGATATCCCAGGGACCTCTCCAGGAGAAGCTCTGCAGACCGGAGAGTCTTTCCTGCGCTCCTGCTGGTTTCACTAAGCCCCAGGCTCCCCCGACAGGCTGTGGGAGCTATTCTGCAGTTAAGCCAATTCTGAAGGGGATAATCAATAACAAATCTCTTTAACCTTAGGCATGCCCAGGAAAGCTTGACACTTGGAGAGAGGCTCTCCCGACAGGGATTCCTGCCTTCATGCAAGTTATTTGCTGTAGTCAGCAGCAGTTACCAGAGGGTTGCTGACAGTACACTCATATTCCTATCTACAGCAGTACTGGTTGTGATCAAGATCTGGTTAGGCTGCTAATTTAGATTTTAGCAGATGGATAGCGATGATTTTATATAGTAATTTTTAATTTTTATCAAAAGTGTAACCCACTATCACTACGGCATATTATTGTACTACATCTCAGTTCATTGCTTGAAGTGTAATATCAAATGTGTGCATAGTGTAAAAGTGTAAAAGTTCAGGCAGGTACTAATAAAGCATAATCTCCTTTGTAAGGATTAACAGCAGCGTAAGCAGTTTGGAAGTCAATTGTTATAGCAGGAATATAATTCTCTGTTCCTAGTTAAACATATGTATATATCTACAGTAAGGACGATACCTGGCAGTGAATTTCCTGTGTTTTGGGGTCACTGTAAAGAAGTGTGGTTTAACCATCTTTTTTCATCTGTTTGTAGAGGGAAGCAAGATACAGAGGGTTCTGCTACTCTTTACATAAGGTTGTGTGTTGCAGACTTCTAACTGCTTAGAGCGCAGCCAGGTGTCCTGGTTTCCTTGTTTTGTCTTGCAATGAATCAGGCATCACCGTTTCACTGCTTTATCTGTATTCTTGCAGACTAGTATTGCTCTTCTTGAGACTAGTAGCCTACTAGCAAGATCTTGCTTGCAAATACCTTCAGAAAATGAAAAAAAACATACCCTAAAACCTGGGGAATGGTGTTATTCCTGAAGGATTTAATTTTATAGAATAGGAAATGGTTTTATTTATGAAAACAGTAGGGTCCCAAATCTTGAGGGACCACAGTGAAATAGACTGTGCTTTGCTGAGTCAGATAATATATTTGGTAATTCTTAATTTCATTCACCTCAAAAGAATGATACCCTATGATTATAAATACTGACATTGCAAAATGCTTGAATTCAAGTTAGCAGGAGAAGTGCAGCACGCTGGAAAAGTTGTGGTTAGGACCCAGCCCATCAGTCAGAATTTGCCTGAGCATCAACTCAGGATAATGTGATGGTCACAGGATGCAGGGCCACAACATGCACCAAGGAGCAGCCCTGCTCCTCTAGATGGTTTAAAACTGAAATAGAGGATGTCCTGGATGTCATTTACTAAAACAACTTTCACCCCCTTCCCTTTGTTTTCCACGTGTGTTTTCTTATGCACAGTTTCCTTTATTAGTCAATTAGCAAGAAATCTTGGTCAGTTTTTAAGAATTTGGGCAAAAATCAGGCAATGATTCGTATAAACCGTGGTCTCATCTGTAAAGAATGAGAGCAAGATAAAACTCTGAAAGCCAACATTTAAAATGAGAATAACAAACCTTAGGTCATTGCTAAGCTGCTGAATATCTTGCATGCACTTTTTCAGCATTATCACCACACAAGAAATGCAAAACAAACTGGTTAAACTCCTCCCCCTTGTGCAGTAATATTGGGGTGATTCTCAGGTCTTTTGCTGAATGCACAGAGTATTTTCACCATAAAACAGCAGTTTTGTTGGTTGCTATTCCCACAGGACTGTTGTTTAGCTACTATCATGTATTCATTGTGACTCACCCAGATTGTGTTCAAGGAAAAATCTTTATTAAAGTTGTACAGTGCAAAAGACTATTTAAAGAAAAAAGTTATTTTTCTTTGTTTAAAATATACACCTTTAACTAACAATAAGTCCCAGGGGGTTGTTTCCAGAATTGCTAGTTATTCCTCTTTCATCTCCTGTTGATAGGGGATTTGAATAGATTCTGTGCAGCAGGGTGAGTTGTAGTTTTCAGGATTAAAACAATGAGATTAAAACTGAGATTAAAACCATTCTAGTGTAAAAACACTTTATTTATAATGCCAGCATTTGATTTTCATATTCTTTTACTCAGGAGTAAATCACTGTTGATTCCTAAAGTCTCCAGTATAACTTACTGCAGTCTGTATTCTTTTAATCTATAATTATGTGCAGCCCAACGTTGCAGCTTTCCCTGAGTGGTGCATGGGAAGGCTCCCCCTCCGGCCGGGAGAGCGGAGATGCCGCGGTGCTAATCCCTAGCACATGGGAAAAATGCAGGTAATGAACTCGGAGAGCAGAAAGTCCTGAGAGCAGCAGAAAAAAAAAAAAAAAAAAAAAAGAATGTTAAACATTGATACAACCTTCTGGGTGTCTGGGGGTCAGGTTAACGGTTTTCGTGCATGTAGAGCATCGACTCTGTAGCGCATCACAGGGAATATTTATGAGTGAAGGTCAGATGTGCCCCTTTGGGACCCTGTGGCCTAACTCGTTACAGAACCCTGTGCGATGTAGAGGACAGCGAGGCAGAACTGCACCCTGCAACCTGCCCTTCCCCCTGACGTGTCAGAAATGTGACAGCAGGATCGAGGTCCCGGCGCAGCCCGGTGCTACCGCTCGCGACTCCAGCGCTATTCCTGGTAGCGGCGTGAGTCACAGGAGCAGGA